TAGATGGGCCATTATAATAGGGGGGAAATGATGTTTTGAACTATGATTTTTCTGAAAAATATGGTTAAAAAGTATGAAAAAAATTTGAGTTTACGCGCAGAATATTTTACCATGTGAGTGTGAATGTGTGGTTGAAAATAAATATGAAAAATAAATAATTTCATTTAATTTAGAAAGAGTCAAACAGGGGCTAAACTAGCTCGACCAGGATTCCATATCAGCAGAGACAAGCTCGTGCTAGACCCATAAGCCAGGATTTCAGGCCTCTGAACACCACTAATAGCAGGAAGGGAAATAATTAAAAGGCTGCTTGCAGATAATGGAGTTAGTTTACATGCAAATGAGATGTGAAAGAAAGGGTGGAGAATGAATTTATTTTTTTTATTGAAAGAATTCCGACTCAATCATATTTCACCGCATAAAAATCATTATGTACAGACAGCATGTAAAAATAATACAGGTAAAGCAAGTAATCGAATTCTGCCATGAAAAATTCGACTAACCTTGGTATCAGAAGGTTCAGGCTCAGCATCCCGGTTGAGCATCGGAGCACTGCAATCAATATCTTCAATCACAATAATGGATCGGGTGGTAGTCGAGAGCAAAGTCTCTTTCAAATCAGAATTGTCATACAAACTGGTAAGGTCCAAATCATAGACATCAAACTTCAAATAATTCGCCATTGCTGCAATCAAGCTCGATTTCCCAGTCCCCGGAGGCCCATACAAAAGATACCCTCTCTTCCAAGCCTTTCCAACTTTCTTATAGTACTCTTTTCTCCTCACAAACCTGTCCAAATCCTCAATTATTTCTGTTTTCGATTGTGGGTCCATTGCCAATTTCTCAAAAGTCACGGGATGATCTAAATTCACACAACCCCACATTCCACTTCCATTCACTACATCTTCTTCATCGTCTGGGTAAGAATATGGGCAATCCCTTGTGTACAATTTCACATTCCTGTCTCTTTCCCTAATTTCTTTGGCCTTTTCCATTACAAAAGGCAAATACTCATTCAACACAATTTCTCTATACTGTTTATTAAAACGGAGTTCAAAGTACCTTTTCTCTGACTGAGAATGATCTTTTTGATTTTCAGGTACTTCCAACACAAACTGCCATTCAAGTTGGATGCCGTTGAAAGTATCTATCACCAGCTCATTTTTCTCCATACTTAGACTGATACTTCTCTTCTTGGGATTCTTGCTTACCTTGAATCTCTCCGTATTTGGGCTGATTTTTGTGTGCAGATAAACCTCGGCAGAGTCGTAGATTTGGTTGCGGGTCATCCCACCGTACTCGTCCACTACCATCGTGATTCGGGTCGCCGATGGAGTGAAAAGATAGCTGAAAATTCGAGTGAAAGCAGATATGATGTAAGATTTTACGGGCTCCGGGATAATATCATGCGCCATGGATCGAAATAGCATCATTGATGCTGCAGCAGATGCGTAGGCTGAAAATATATTGGAAGTCATTGACTGCATATCACCAAATGACTGCATCTTGTACAAATTTTTCGAAAGAAATTATTGGGATTGAAGGCTCTTTGTTACTCTTTGAGTTTGCTGAGAAATCGAAATTTGGGCCTTTGGGTTTATGATCACAGATCAATGATTCTTAGGGGGTTATTTATAGATATATCAAGAATATGAGTCATGCGATGGGTCTGTAGAAGAAACGTAGCGAGGAAGACATGAATTAAGAATGTGATCAAGCGATGGGACTGTGAAAGAAACGTGGCGAGGAAGCACGAGAGGGATCGGACTTGACAGGGTTTTGATTTTAGGAGTTCATGTCGGCACATAGAAATATTTGTCAAATTTGAAATTTTAATTTCTGGTGGCTTGGGCAGCACGCAGGGGATCAGTCTTATGCTGAATAATAATAATCAATTGAAAGGGGAAATTATTGTCGGGCTCCCTAAACTTTTAATTAATGTACTTTTGAGTTCTCTATTTTCAAAACTATTATTTTAGTCTATAAACTATGTAAATATGTGAATATGAGTTCCCTCCATGTTTAAGGCGAAACTCGCACACTACCTTAGCATAACTTAAAAGATTAAAAGCAAAACTATGAAACCATTTAATATACAATTCTATCTCACTTCAAAATTTTTATGCCCTTTTTAACGCTCATAATGACAGTTTTCATCTCATACTAACTGAGCTCATAGATTCAAAACTCGAGTGCTTAAACATAAAATCACACTACATGAAAGATTGGAAAATGTACCCAAAATGTTGCCGAGCATAGTGTTGGGACTAGTTTCCAAAAACAATGAATAAGTACTCAACATTTTCTCGACCAATATACATAAATGAAATACACACACACACTTATTATTTAATATAAATTTAGTAAAAATAACCCAAACCTTGGATGAGCGGCATGAGCCACATTAGTTCCATAAGAATGCATTTTTTAATAGTGTATTGATGGAAAATATGTAGTTAAAAAATTAAAAAAAAGTTTTGAATTTGTATGTAATATTATTTTATTAAAGAATGTGTGGTTGAAATTATGTCAAATCATTGTTCAAAAATATATTTTTTTGAAAAGAATGTGGGTCGATCAGGGCCTTTAGTAAAAGTGATTTAAAAAAAGTAATTTTTTGAAAAATTACATGATTAAAAGTAGAAAATTTTTATGGAGAAACATGAAATGTAATTTTATTTTATTTTATTTTATTTAGAGAGAGTGATCTAAAATGAACGTGGAGAAAAAAATTATTTTTACCGTGGCTCGCCAAGTCTAAAGTGTTTGATCACTTTAAAGTCATCGAATTTTTCTCTTCTATAAATGCCTCCCAATACAAATCATTTTTTTCACACAACAGTCAAAAGACTATCTACTCTCTACTACATTCTCTCTATAATCAAAATATCAAATTACAATCAATTATATTTTATTACATTATTCATTATTACTTGCATTCTATTACACATACATATTTTATTACATTTTAAATTTCAATTCTATTGCATATATTCTCTCAATTATATTTTCTATACTAAATTATACATTATCCAGTTTATACATTTCAACTTGATTTTGTTGAGGGCTTGTTTTGTGGTCATTCACCTATGAAATATTTATAAGTGAAATATATTAATTATTTTTTTAATTGATTATATAAGTTTAGAAAGCATAACTTAGCGAAATTGATTTTTTGAAAATTAATTTTTCAAAAATTTGCAGGATTGAAAGTAGAGAAAATTGATGGAGAAACATGAAAAATAACTTTTTTTAGAGTGTAACCGAACATGAATGCGGAAAAAAATGATTTTTTAAAGAATCACTTGCATACACGGGCTTAAAATGAAAAGCATGGGTTCTCAATGAATTGATTTTAATTATGTCCACATTTTTTTGCAATTGTTCAGTTCAACATTTGGATTTTGATCAAATTTCCAGCATTTTGCTGGGTATTCTTGATTAAATTGTTAAAATCACAATTTTAGTTTTGATTCAAGAGTGTTCAAACCTAAATCTCTTTTCAGCTTTCACTATTACATTTGTCTACTTGGTTAATGAGTCGAACATTAAGACCTTGTTAGATCCGCTTCGGGCAAGAAAATTTATCTTGTCAACAAGAAGTTAGTTTCTAAGGGTGTTTGGTGGAGATTATAATTAGATTTTTTAGTAGATTATGATAAAGTTTTTAAAATGTACAGTTGAAAATTTGTGAGGCCCATGAAAGATGTGATTAATATTAATTGTTTGACTTTAACTTAAATTAAAATCAAATTTTAATCCAAATCAAATAGGCTCTAATCAATTAAACCCCTTCTTGGCCTCCACTTCTTAGAATTCATTTTTTCATTAAGTTTATTTTTAACCTCGTGTTTTATAGAACTCACAATTTTTTAATCATATATTTTTTATTAATTTTTTTAATCAAAATTTACCAAAATCCAATTTTTATCAAAACTAAATGTTCACGAAATTATTTGTTTCGATTCAAACCCACTGCAAGTGTACAGTTCGTTAATAAGTAGTAAAATGGACTATGAATACAAGTATCGATCCCACAAGGATTGAATTAATTTAAGTCAACCTATTATGATATTAACCGAAACACGAAAATAAAATTGATGTGTTGTGATTTAGCTAAGGAAGATGTAAACTATGATACGATTATGAATGAAAGAAATATATTAAATGCAAATGACTTGGACACAATCTACTAGAATTTTATGGAATTAATGAATGTACTAACGCACTAGGATCACGAATCCCCAAGCAATACCCGTTCAATTTTTAATCGTGCAAATTTGACACACAGTTCCACAAAAGATGAATCAATATTCCTATTTTAATTTAGCAATCTCTCTCGAACAATGCAAAACATATCCCAATATGTGATTCGACTATATTTCTATGACGAATACTAACATGCCGAAATGCATTATAAATTCATGAATATCCAATAATTCACACAAGGCTTAGAGGTATATTTCTATCCCCTATCGGACCCTATGATAATTTATACTATGTCGAACCTATTTTTCTCCTCTCGAATGCATAAAACAGGCCACCACAATCATATAATTACGTGCACAATAATCATACGAAAATAAAAACGTAATAAATCATTCAATTCCAGAACATGCGTTTAAATACGTCAAAAATCCAAATCAAAAATCAAACGTAGTATTACAAGGTTCATCGATCTCCTAGCAATGAAAAATCTAGCCTAACATGCTAAAAACAAGAAAACATAAAAATAGTTGAAGAAGCGTCATCACCCGAATCAAGCTTCAATCGAATCTTCACTTGGCGCGATGTTTTCCTCTTGTTCTCTCGTCGTTTCTCATTCAAAATCTCTCAAAAACTTGTAAAAACGGCCTCCCCATCATTCTGGTCGAGTTTTTGTTTATATAGGACCCTAAAAATATTGTTTTCATAAGAGTTTCAGCGAAAAAAGTAAACTGTGGTTTTAGCCCAGAAATGCTCTATGCGACCGCATAGAGCATCTTTATGCGGTCGCATAGAGTAATTTTTTTTGAAATTTTACTTTCGGTTTGCCTCTATGCGACCGCAAAGAGGGTAGCGCATAGTGCTACCAACTATGGAAGATGTTCACTTTGGTCCTTCTACTTGAATCCTTCACTTCTTGGCATCTTTTCTTCATTCTTTCCATTCCATCATCCCAAGATATCATTAATTGGCAATTAGCTTAATCAATTTCTCGATTTCTTTATCGGGTCAACCTTTGGAATTGCACATTGGTCCCTGAACTTTCACTTTGCGTCATTTTAGTCCTTTTTCGCGTCTTTTCTCCTAAATTTCACCGTGTTTATCGTTGTTCCCTACAATTCACAAATGTAACGAGATTAAGTTACAATTCAATCATTTTGCTCATTATTCAGTCATGTTTGTGACCTAAATAAGTGTGCAAAAACACACTTATCAAACCCTCCAAACTTGAACTATTCTTTGTCCTCAAACAAGATAGTGACTTAATTCTGAACAAACATGGCTTAAAACCCTGGTGTGGCTCAGGATTGGACTAAGTATTTGACTTTATGAAAATTTATCAGTGCAAACATGACATCAACCTTTATATGTTAAATGCAAATTGACGTGTGTGTGTGAATTCATGCCAACATATCAGGTTCATGATGAATTTGAGTCCCAACCCCAAGTGGTCAAATGTATCCTTACTCGCTCGAGAGATACACAACCCTCCAAACTTATTCTTTTTACTCAATTATTTCGGGGTTGTGCTTTAAGATTAGGAATTTTCATAGTTGTAGTCCCCACCCTCTCATAGTTTGGATTAGTCTTACTATTACAAGTTTACATGTCAACAAGTGAAGGCTCTCCTAAGTTTGATTGCTTTGACACTCAAGATTAAACTAGGTTACTTGCCTCGCGTCAGAGGTATAGCCTCTTCAACCAAATGTCCAAGGGCTTTTTGTCGTGTTATTGTCTCTCTTTTATTTTTCTCACCTTTCTCTAATTTCTGATTGATTATCATCTTCTCATTTGCTTTCTATATAACCCATGTAACGAGTTTTAAGCCGGTGATTCCCAAACCAATTAGCTTTAGGACACCAGGTTTTAAACCCTTACAAGCTTATTCACTCGAGTTATAAAGGCTCGATCAGATGACTTTTTATTAACCTCTTTCCCTCTTACTTTCTATATGACCCATGTATCGAGCTTTGAGCCGGTGACTCCCAGGCCAGTCGGCTTTAGGGCACTAGATTTTGAGATATCCTTACTGGCTTACTTGCTCGAGTCATAAAGGCATGAAAAGAAGTGTTTTATTCTCACATATTAATTTTATGCCCTTTATTATTTTTCTAGACATTTAGTTTCCAAAACCAACCCCCAATTTAAGATTTTCACCTACTCTTCACCCCACTGGTCTAGGCAATCCATACAATAAAGTTCATGCACGGAGCCCTTGCTTATCTCAATGCTTTCCCATAATAGCTCAACTATCACCAAACAGTCTTAAGGTAGTTTATGAGTTAATTCAATAGAGAGTTATCATTCTTTTCCTACTTTATGCTCAAAATCCAGTCATTCATCTAACATGTCGAGCATGAATAGCGTACATAGATAATGTCAAGTGTTGCATCAACAAGTATCAGTCAGTCTAATTAACACTAGATCAAAAGTTTTGCAGTTTAAACTAGTCTAATAATATCATCATAGTTAACAAGGTTATCAGGCTCACACAAGCATGCATGAAGAGAATTAAAACAACTGAATAAAATGCAAATATTTTTTTTCACTCATCATGCATACATTATGCAGTAATGGAAAATAGTGAAAAATAGATACTGATGAACACAGATAAAGATTTAAAATTATGTTACCCTCCCCAAACTTAGTTGATACATTGTCCTCAATGTAAGATTAACAAAAGATTAAAGACATAATTTTAATGACAAAATGAAGAAGAAAAGTCAAATGGGGTAAACAGTACTCCCCTGATCAAAATGGTGGCTATGATGGAAGGCTGGGTCCGGCATCATTATCTCCAGGAGGGGGAGGAAGACGGGATAAAATCTCTCTCAACATGGCAGACTGCTGGGTCTGCTCCACCTGCATGGCCTGAACCCTTGTCTCCATACTCCCTAGACGGTCCCAAGTCTAGTTTACCCGCCACTGTATACCATCCATCCTCCCAACATACATGCCCAATCGCCCGTCAAAGGTGCTCATCTGTCGTCGTGCCGCAAGGGACTCACTGCTGGCAGTGGAAGCGAAGTTTCGTGTGGTTGCCATATCGGTTTGCACCTACTGGATGGTGGTATTTAGTGCTCCAAATGAGTGCTGAAGATGCTGCATGTCTCGGTTGTATCCAGTCATAGTGGCAAACATCTACCTCAATAACTGGGTATCCATGTCAGCCGGTGGTGGCAGAGCTTGTGGCATTTCAAAGTCCTCAGCTGCTTGCCCTTCTTCTGCCTATTGCTGTCGACGACGCTCGTTTTCCAACTTCTGTTGATGTTTAATTCTGGCCCGGTCCTGGGCCTCGAGTGTGAGGCGCTTGATATATGGACTTAGTTTCTCCGGTGCCTCCCCAGACTGAACTTGTATGCCTGTAGCTCTACAAACCCCACTTATCAAGCTCAGGAAAATCAGTGAGGTGTGCCTGTCTCCCCATGCTCCTGTAATGTGTATCTGGTTGTAAATGTAAGTGGCCAAGTCAATCTTGTTGCCCCGAACTAAGTGATAGATGAACCCCGCCTTCTGATTTGTGAATGTCGTCCTATGGGAGATGGGCTCGATGTTGTGGCAGATAAACAACCGTAGGATGGCTATAGAAGGGGTGAGGTCAATCTGATACCACTCTGCAGTAGGGAGAGGCCAAGTATTTTCACGTCCCAATAAAATTTCGACAACCTCAACCCAGTTGAAATCATGCAAGACTGGGACTACATTAGTCCAGGTGAGCTGATAGTAGTCATGAAGTACTTCAGGTGAAAACATGATCCATTTGCCCCGAACCCATGTTTGATGCGGATGATTGGATCCAGGTGTGTCTATTTCAGTATTGAAGTTGGTATAGAATTTCCTCACCAAATTTTCATAGACGGGGTGTGGTCTTTCAATCACTTTCTTCCAACCACAGTTGTGGATTAAATAAACCAATTCAAACCTCGGGAAATCATCCAACTTAACTAGTCTTACGGGGATGAGTGCCCACTCACAGACAACATTGGCGTAACGGGCTGCTTTGTCGGAAGATAGAAAATGCCTGACACCCCCTTCGGGCTCCCTAGTCCAGGCTGTGCCAGATGTAAAACCAACATTCTCCTTTCCTTTTGATGTTCTTTTTGGAGCCATCCTGCAAAGGTATATAAATAACATTCATTAAACTTCATTTTGAAAAACGAGAGGGGGAATGAGATTAGCAAGACATGTATTTCACAAATCCCCCAAACTTGCTTCAACATGCATATAGAACTCCTTGGTGTGCACTTATTAAACATGACATTCAAGGTAGTGTAAATAGTGTGCCAAGATGAAAAACTGGAAAATTAGGCCGAAACATGCACATTTGAAAAATTGGACCCATGACCAAGTGCTCATGTTCGACCCTAGACATCATCGAAAAATATCGAAATTTCCCCGAGCAATCTCTGGGCATATGAAAGTATTCAATAAGATCTACCATTATACTCAAATTTCAAAGCAATTGGACTTCGTTTGGTGTGGCAAAGAATGGTGTAAAATAGGGGACGTAGGGTGTCGTGACCTAGCCATGTGCCTACGTGTTGCAAAATGGATTTGATGGCTGTTCATGTGTTTATGAATGTGGTATATGCAAACTTCAAGAAAACAAGCTTGTGAATGCAGACAGAAGGCAAAATAACAATATACACACAAATGAAGCTCAAAACATCCAAAATATGTCAAGTGACTCGTGATTAAGCGTGCACTTTCACTCCCGGACATCATCGAGAAAACTCAAGTTTTTCGCAAGCAAGCTCTGGGCATATGAAAGTACGTAGTGTGGAGTGACACATATTCAAATTTCATGCTCATTGGATGTCGTATGGGTACTTAATGCAAGGGACAAAGTGGGTGCTGTGAAGTGACGTGAGTCTAACATGTGTGCCTACATGTGTGTGGTTAGTAAGTGAGTGTTTCGAGCTCAATTTATATGGCATTTGATCACCACGTATATGGGAATACGTATAGTCAGATTGTCTAATGCGAGATTGCTCAAAATGCACTACAAACTTCACTCAGGCAGTTTATCGAACGTGTAGCATGCATGTTTATAAACCCTACAAAATATCAATTTGATAATGTCCCACCAATCTACAACACAATCCAAGTTCAAAATACACAAATCCATCGACTACCTATTGCCCATTCTCCACAATCAAGCTCGAAAATTCTTGGCTCATCACGAAACAAATTAAAGAAAAAAGAATGCATAGAGGAAAAAGGAAAAAGAACATACCTTGAATTCACAATGGATGTGTGGAGTATCGATTTATGGTGTCAATGGGGGAGGGAGTGCAGTGAAATATGGGTGTGATTCGTGTGGGAGTGTGGTGTGTGAAGTGTGGAGTGTGAGATGCAAATAGGGAGAAATGAGGGAGATTAGCTCGGTCATGGTTTAAAACCATGACCGAGGTTATACTATGCGGCCGCATAGTACTAAACTATGCGGTCACATAGTATTAACAATTCCCCCTCTTTTGTGTTCGGATAATGTCTATGCGATCACATAGACCAAAAAAAAAAATTTTTTTTTAAACATACTGAAATGGAAAAAGTTCTTTCCATCGTAAAATTTTTTTTTTGAAATACGTCATTTTGTCTTGAAATGTGTGAATTTTAATCTCAAACATCCAAAATCATTTCAAACTCACTTAACATGTGTGTAAGGCCTAGGAAATTATGTGAACTATAATTTCGTCTTCGTCTTATTAACATTGCATGGATGAACGATGACCTAGAAAAATGCAAATGCGAAAATTAAATAATTCTAAAAATAATGTGAAAAGTAAGCTAAATAGAAGGATACAGTGGGTTGCCTCCCACCCAGCGCTAGGTTATAGTCGATAGCTCGACTTTACCGTATTGTGTCATTCTGGTGGTATAAGATGAACGGTAGACTTTTCCTTTGAAAGATTGCCGCCCCAACAGTGCTTCAAACGCTGTCCATTGACCTTGAATGTCCCCTTGCTGTCGTGAGTGCTCTCAACTGCCCCATGTGCAAATACCTGTGTAATAGTATACGGACCAGACCATCTCCTGGAAATAGCTTAAGCCTAGAGTTGTAGAGTAGCACTTTTTGCCCCCACCGTAAATTCACGCCTCTGAATATGCATATCATGCCACTTCTTGGTGCCTTCTTTGTAGAGTCTTGAATTCTCGTATGCTTCCATTCTGAGCTCATCCAGCTCATTAAGTTGTAGTAGACGTTTCCTACTTGCAACCTTCAAGTCCAAATTCAATTTCTTTATTGCCCAGTAAGCATGTTGTTCTATCTCAAGAGGCAAGTGGCATGCCTTCCCGAAAACCAGTCGATATGGTGACATTCCTATAGGGGTCCTGAATGCAGTCCTATAGGCCCATAAGGCGTCATCCAGCTTCTTAGACCAATATTTTCGTGAGGCGCTTACTGTAACTTCGAGTATTCGCTTCAATTGCCTATTGGACACTTCGACCTGTCCGCTGGTTTGGAGATGATATGCAGTGGTTACACGATGTTTAACGCCATATTTAGTCAACAACTATTCAAACTGGCGATTGCAGAAATGTTTTCCCCCATCGCTGATTATAGCTCTCGGTGTGCCAAAACGGGTAAAAATATTTTTCTTTAGAAATTCAATCACCACCTTCCCATCGTTGGTAGGAAATGCAACGGTCTCTACCCACTTTGATATGTAATCCACAGCCACTAATATGTACTGATTAGAGAATGATGGGGAAAATGATCTCATGAAGTCGATCCCCCAGACGTCGAATAGTTCCACCTCCAGGATACCGTTCAAAGGCATTTCGTTTCTCCTGGATATATTACTGGTGCATTAACATTGGTCACACCTTTTCACGAATTCAAAAGCATCCTTAAACAGTGTAGGCTAGTAAAAACCTGATTGAAGGATCTTCGCCGCTGTTTTTGAAGCACCAAACTGCCCTGCGTATGTAGATGAATGAGAATGTTCTAATATTAAGGGCACTTCTACTTCAGGTACGCATCGACAAACAATTTGATCAGCTCTCGCCTGTATAGACTGGGGTCCTCCAAAAAAATAATACTTCAATTCAGCGAAAAATTTCTTCTTCTCGTGACTTAAGTAATCTGACGGAATGATAGACCTAGCTAAGTAGTTAACTATGTCAGCATACCAAGGTGCCTCTCCCACACCAAAATTTTGTTCATCTGGGAAGACTTCATTGATTTCCACGATCTCTGTCAGCTCTGTGGTCTCGACTCGAGACAAGTGGTCTGCCACCACGTTTTCATTGCCCTTCTTATCCCTGATTTTCAAGTCAAACTCTTGAAGCAACAGTATCCAACGAATGAGACGTGGCTTTGCATCCTTCTTTTCCACTAAGTACTTGATAGCAGTGTGATCTGTGTAAACGATGACCTTTGACCCCACAAGATATGATCGAAATTTGTCAAAGGCGTAGACTACGACAAGGAGCTCTTTCTCTGTAGTGGCATAGTTTAGTTGAGCGTCGTTCAAGGTCTTACTTGCATAGTATATCACGTGAAATATATTATTTCTTCGTTGTCCCAATACGGCCCAAATAGTGAAATCGTTGGCTTCGCGCATTAATTCAAATGGCAGGTTTCAATCCGGTGTGATGATCATGAGTGCTGAAATCAACTTTTCTTTCAAGGTGTTAAAAGCCAGCAGACACTCATTTGTGAACTCAAACGTGGATTCCTTCATCAACAAATAGCACAGTGGTTTAGTAACTTTTGAGAAATCCTTGATAAACCTTCTTTAGAACCTGACATGCCTGAGGAAGCTACAAACACCTTTCACTGATGTAGGTGGTTGTAATTTTTCGATCACCTGAATCTTTGCTCTGTCCACTTCAATACCCTTTGCTGAGATTCTGTATCCTAGCACGATGCCTTCCTGTACCATAAAGTGACATTTCTCCCAATTCAATACCAAGTTGGTCTCTATACACCGTTGTAAAACAAGACTCAGATGCTCCAAACACTCATCAAACGAAGACCCAAACACTGAGAAGTCATCCATGAATACCTCGATAAATTTCTCAATCATATCCGAAAAGATAGCCATCATGCAGTGCTGAAAAGTGACAGGAGCATTGCATAAACCAAAAGATATCCTACGGTATGCAAAGGTACCGTATGGACATGTGAAAGTTGTCTTCTCCTGATCGTCAGGCGCTACTAGAATCTGATTATACCCGGAGTACCCATCCAGAAAATAGTAATGCGAGTGTGCTGCTAGTCTCTCCAACATCTGATCAATTAACGGTAGTGGAAAGTGATCATTTCGAGCAGCAGCGTTTAGTTTGCGGTAATCGACACAAACTCTCCATCCAGTCACTGTTCTTGTAGGAATCAACTCTTTTTTCTCGTTTTCCACCACTGTGATACCCCCTTTCTTGGGAACAACCTGAACTGCATTGATCCATGCACTATCTGATATTGGATAGATGATGCCTGCGTCGAGCAACTTCAATACCTCAGCCCTAACTACTTCCTTCATGTATGGATTCAATCTCTGCTGACCATCAATGCTTGGCTTGAATTTTTCCTCCATGAGTATTTTGTACATACATAGCGACGGGCTGATCCCTTTGATATCTGCAATCGACCATCCAATGGCTGTTTTATTCTCCCTTATCACCCGAAGTAGTTTCTCTTCCTCCACTTCACTGATAGTATTTGAAATAATAACCGGAAGTGTAGAAGATTCCTCAGGTAAGCATATCGAAGGTGTGGTCGCAATTGTTTGAGTTCCAACTTGGGAGGTTGCGGAATAGATGACATTGACTTTGTGGTCCTAGTTCCCAGTTCTTCGAAGTGATGCTTGCGCAAGTATGGTGGATTAGTTTCCAAAAACCGTGCACATGTTTCAATCTCACTTGAATCAGTGTGAGTGGATTGAGAATGTGCAATGCATCCCTCGTATGCATCGGAAGGATGATGTAACCGAAATGTATCTTGAATTATTCTATCAATTACATCGATCTCAAAACAGTTGTCTGACTCAGTAGGAAATTTCATTGCCTTGAACAGAACACGTTGAAAGAGATTTGCTCTTCGCCAAGCCTCAATATAAGCTGCCCTTTCTGAACATCGACAATAGCTCTTCCAGTAGCTAAGAAGGGTCGCCCGAATATGAGTGAAACATCCTTATCTTCCTCCATATCTAAGATGAGAAAATCGCTGGAAATATGAACTTTTCGACTTTTACCAACACATCTTCAATGATCCCTCTTGGATGTGAAAGGGATCGATCTGTTAACTGTAAGGTAACAGTTGTGGCTTTAGCTTCTCCCAAGCCGAGTTTCCTGAAAACAAAGAGAGGCATCAAATTAATACTTGCACCTAAATCACACAAAGATTTATCAAAATGAGAATTTTCAATAGTGCAAGGTACAACAAAACTCCCTGGATCCTTTAGTTTTGGAGGCAACTTTTTCTGAATTCTGGCACTGCATTCCTCAATTAGTATCACTGTTTCGTTTTCTTCTATCTTTCGCTTGTTAGAGAAAATGTCCTTTATGAATTTTGCATAACTCGGCATCTGAACAAGTGCCTCAGCAAATAGGATGTTGATGTGTAATTTCTTGAAGACTTCAAGAAATTTGCTATATTGCTGATCCAATTTGTGCTTTTTCAACCTCTGCAGGAATGGAATAGGCGGCTCATGAGGATTGATAGGATTGGTAGCTGTACCCCGTGATGTATTGGAATTCTTCTTGACAACATCCCCTGTTGTTCGTTCAGTCTGTTCCACAATCTCGGCATCTGAGGTTGGTGCTGATTCCTTGCTAGCTACCGATCTTTTTACATGTATCTCCGGTAGTTGTACTCCACTTCTGGTTGTTATAGCCTTTGCGTGCTCCTTAGGGTTGATTTCAGTGTTGTTGGGTAGGTTTCCTGGTGCTCTACCTGTTATGGAGATTGCCATCTATCCCATTTGTTTCTCCAGATTTTTGATTGCTGCACTTTGGTCTTGAAGAGTTGCATCTGTCTTTCGCATAAACTGGTTGTTGGCTTCCATATATTAATTAGTCGTTGTCATGAACTTCTCAAATATCTCTTCCAATGGTGGCTTTTTATCCTGCTGCTGAAAATGACCTTGTGGTCTATTTTGATTCTGATTACTCCACAAGAAGTTTGGGTGTTTTCTCCAGCCCTGGTTGAAGGTTTCCGAATGTGGGTTGTTCTGTTGGCGTTGATCCCATTGCACAAAAGCTGCATGTTCAACCCCCTGTGTGAGAATTGGACAATTGAAAGTATTGTGGTCTGCCCCACATTCTTCACAGCTTGGCTTCTTGACTTGTTTTGTAGTGGCGGTCTGTGAAATGCTCTCAACCTTATGGAACAAGGAGTCTATCTTTGCGGACAATGCTGAGTAAGTATCTACTTCATAAACCCCTGGCGTTCTTTTCTGAACCACTCAATCTGTAGACCACACGGCTGAAGTTGCAGCCATTCTCTCAAACAGCTCCCATGCTTCGTTAATTGTTCTTATGGAGATAGACCCGTCGGATGATGAGTCCACCATGCTCTTAAAGGATGGAAGTAGTCCAGTATAGAAAAATCAGATCTGTGTCTTCTTATCAAAGCCATGTTGAGGACACTTCTTTAGCATATTTTTGAAACGATTTCATGCCTCTTCAAATGATTCGGATTCACCTTGGTTGAATATAGAGATGTCATGCCTCATTTTGGCTACCTTAGCTGCGCGAGAAGAACTTGGTGTAGAATTTGTGGGCTAGCTTGTTCCAAGTGGTGATGCTTGTGACGGGAAGTGAATCCAGTCATTCAAGTGCTTTATCCCACAAAGTGTGTGGAAACAAACGCAGTCTTATAGCATCGTCTAAGATATCCTGGTACCTAAAGTGTTGGAACATGTCCAGAACTCAGGATATGTGAGTATGTGGGTTCTCACTAGCTATCCCGTGGTATTGATGCCCATTCTGAAACAGTTGAATCACATTTGTTTTTAGCTGGAAGTTCGGTTGCCCAAATGGAGGATACACAATGCTAGATTGATTTTGGACCACCAACGATGCCATGAAGTCCCCAAGTATCGTATTCCCGTCATCTTCAACCTCCACGCCTTCGTTGAGTGGAATTATCGATCGATTTTGTTCGTTAGCCATCTGTTGTGCCGCTCTTTGCCTGTGACAAAATGTGCGTTTGATCTCTGGATCTACGGGAACCAAGTCTCGATCAGGTGCTCCTTGCATACAAGCCCTGAGATAGCAAAATTAACACAAAATTAAATTAAAGTAAATAATAAACTAAACATAGTAAGCTAACTACTACTAATCTAGATAAATTCAAATTAGTGCCACAATGGGTAAAATTAAACTAAATTTCAATCCCCGGCAACGGCGCCAAAAACTTGTTCACGAAATTATTTGTTTCGATTCAAAACCTGCCGCAAGTGTACGGTTCGTTAACAAGTAGTAAAATGGACTATGAGTCCAAGTATCGATCCCACAAGGATTGAATGAGTTCAAATCAACCTATTATGATCTTAACCGAAACACGAAAATAAAATTGATGTGTTGTGATTTAGTTAAAGAAGATGTAAACTATGATGCGATTGTGAATGAAAGAAATATATTAAATGCAAATGACCTGGACACAATCTACTAGAATTTTATGGAATTAATGAATGTAATAACGCACTGGGATTACGAATCCCCAAGCAATATCCGTTCAATTTTTAATCGTGCAAATTTGACACACAGTTCCACAAAAGATGAATCAATATTCCTACTTTAATTTAGCAATCTCTCTCGAGCAATGCCAAACCTATCCCAATATATGATTCAACTATATTTCTATGATGAATACTAACATACCGAAATGCATTATAAATTCATGAATATCCAATAATTCACACAAGGCATAGAGGTATCCCCTATCGGATCCTATGATGATTTGTACTATGTCGGACCTATTTTCCTCCTTTCGAATGTATAAAACAGGTCACCAAAATCATATAATTACGTGCACAATAATCATACGGAAATAAAAACGTAATAAATCATTCAATTCCGGAACATGCGTTTAAATACGTCAAAAATCCAAACCAAAAATCAAACGTAGGATTACAAGGTTCATCGATCTCCTAGCAATGAAAAATCTAGCCTAACATGCTAAAAACAAGAAAACACAAAAATAGTTGAAGAAACATCATCACCCAAATCAAGTTTCAATCGAATCTTCACTTGGCGCGATGTTTTCCTCTTATTTTCTCGTCGTTTCTCGTTCAAAATCTCTCAAAAACTTGTAAAAATGGCCTCCCCATCATTCTGGTCAAGTTTTTGTTTATAAAGGACCCTAAAAATATTGTTTCCATAAAAATTTCGACGAAAAAAGGAAACTGCGGTTTTGGCCCAGAAATGCTCTATGCGACCACATAGAGCATCTCTATGCGGTCGCATAAAGTAATTTTTTTTGACATTTTACTTTCGATTTACCTCTATGGGACCGCATAGAGGGCAGCACTATGCGGTCACATAGTGCTACCAACTATGGAAGATGTTCATTTTGGTCCTTCTACTTGAATCCTTCACTTCTTTGCATCTTTTCTTCATTCTTTCCATTCCATCATCCCAAGATATCATCAATTGGAAATTGACTTAATCAATTTCTCGATTTCTTTATCGGGTCAACTTTTGGATAATTGTACCTTGGTCCCTGAATTTTCACTTTGCATCATTGTAGTCCTTTTTCGCGTCTTTTCTCCTAAATTTCACCGTGTTTATCGTTGTTCTCTACAATTCACAAATGTAACGAGATTAAGTCACAATTCAATCATTTTGCTCGTTATTCATTCATGTTTGTGACCTAAATAAGTGTGTAAAAACACACTTATTACTAAACATGGATGTAAATATACTTGGTTGGCTGAGCCAAGATGACATTAAGGCCTGCTTGGGAGTTTCAGGATATTGGTTATGAGATATATATTTGGCCCTTGTTTGAGCCTCATTCTTTTCAAAATTCATTTTTTCAAAACTTATTTTCAATCACATATTCTTTAATAAAATAACATTACATGCAAATCCAAAAAAATTTCTTAACTTTTAACCACACATTTTCCATCGATCACTATTTAAAAATGCGTTCTTTCTGTTACAATGGGGCTCAAACAAGGGTTTAAAGTATCAATTTTGATTGTTTATGAGCATACCGATTTTTTTTTAACATATAGGTTTATATTTAACTTAAAAATTTTAATATAATTAATTATTTGCTTAAAATTTTAACTTATATTTTTTTACGTATAAGTAAACATTACAAATTATAAGTTAATTTTGTAATTCTAAATAATTTTTAATTGAATTTTTACTTTTAAGTAACTTTTTATTTTATAATTGTCTTATTTGTTGTATATAAATTCTATAAACAAATATTTTATTTTATTTTTACGTAAAAGTGATTTTTTAACTTATAAGTAATATTTTACTTATAAGTAATTTTTTAAATATAATGTAATTTTTTCATCTATAGATAATTTTTTAGTTAATATATTATTGTTTACAAGTTTGTTTTGAACAAATATTG